ACGAAAAAACTTCAAGGATGAAAGAGTTAACGGACCAGGTCGATTAAAAGAGAAATACTTAACGGGACACAATAGGAATAATCAAAGTAAAGTGAAATTGTATGAAGAAACGCAAATAATGACAGAATAGTACAACGAATAAGCCTTCCCGTAAGAAGTCGTTAGAATTTGGACAATAGCACCATAGGATATCGAGAGTTGGAAGACAATTTTGTAGATGTTCACCAAGGTAACTCATTATTCAGAGTCACAGTCTTCATCAATCGATTTATTTCATATTGTATATTTGGCACGACTTGAGCTAGTTTGTGCATGCGTGAGATCATATAGATAATAGAGATATCGACACAGTATATCAATTGGGGATTATTTCGTAATTATTCTAGAAACAGTCACAGACCATAATACGAGCAGACGTAAAGGGACACCAGTGTCCACACCCATCGCTGTAATGTCCGTACACACACCCAAGTCACAAACTACTGCGAAAAAACTGCATTACTATCGCTTTAGACGTCTCTTGAATAAAAAAAACGGTTTTTTTTTAGCCACCTCCAAAAGTATATAGGATAGACAAAGACATAAGCAGCAGAATCGCACTACGATTCAGAGAAACAAGCAACAAGGCAAAAAAAAACGGACAGAATATGAAAATAAACGGTAGAAAAAAAGATATACATAAACATACACAATAAAAAAGAGAATTACATCTAATAAGCAATATATGATAAGACATTATAAAACATGAACGGAACAATATAGAGAGTATTGACGAACCAAGAGTACAGTATAGGACATAGAGAAATAAGAAATATGAATATATGGCTAAGGAAGAAAAGAAGGATAAGAAAGAACAAGTGGAAAATGAATTAGTTTCACATACATACAACTTCCGAATACACGCAATATACAGAAGAAAAAAAGAACCTAAAATTGTTCATCAAACTAAAATATATAACAGTAAATTCTATATATAACAAAAAAATAAGCAATTACACAAACCCAAATTAAATCTTTTGAACAAAAAAACGAGCAACAGAATGAAGCATCAGAAAAATAGAAAACAGAATAAAAATGACAAAATTTTGAAAGACATAATCAAAATTAGAATTGAGAAACCTAACACCGAAATAACAAAAGCACAAAAATATAAACAAGAAAGAGAAAAGTAAAAGGACGAATTAAAAGATAATACAAGAAGAAGACAGAAAGGACCAGCCAGAAACGAAACAGGATAGAGAAACAAAAACAGACATAAAAAGAACATATAGAAAAAGAAGAACATAGCAATATATCAATCACCAAATTTTACAGACAATAATGAAAAAGGCAACATAGTAGATTAGGGCAAATAGTAGAAAAATTGAACGCATACACAAATTACCATCCACATCAATTCATAGAATAAGTAAACGACTTGTATTCATTGAATGTTTATCATCGTATAGATTTACTGGACATGAAGTTTGACCAAAATTAACAATTTATTGAGCTATTTGAGATTGAAAAAATAAAAAAAAAAAACTGAATCAAAATACAAAATCCAAGAAAACATTACCACCTTGAACTTTCAAAAAGAGATCACAAAAAAAACTAGAATATATTAAATTATATAACATATGCAATAAAAGAAAAAAAAAGAGATACAAGAAACAGATAAAAAAAGTATATAATAGATGAAGTTATTTAACAGATTATATGTGACAAGAGTAATAAACGACAGAAAAAAATAATAATATAACGTTCTAAAAAATAAAGACGAAAAAAGGAAAAAAAAAAATAACAGAAAAATAGCAACAATTTAAACATGAAGATTAAGATAATCGCATAAATAATATAGAGCACATGAACTTCATAGAATTTCAAGATAAGTAAAAAAAAAAAAAAAAAATACTCAACGGAAAACCTAAGCTGTCAGAAAAGATATCACTCATAGCCATATCACAGAGCAAAGCAAACACAACTACATATAGCAAGTCGCCAAGTATCATATCACGCTCGTAAATTATCAGGCGACGAAAAAGTAACAAAAAAAAAAAAAAATAGCACAGAAAGCACAAAAAAACTGAACATTGATTAGAGAAAAAACATTCGCTTATTAACGGAAAAACAAAAAACATCGACAAATAAATACAAATAAAAAAAACAACAAAAAAACAAAATGACCAAAGAAACAAACACTTATAGTATCCAAAGCATATAACGCTTAAAACAACAGAAATAAAATAAATAATCCTAAAAAGAGTTAATAATAATTAAGAAGAAATAGTAAAAAATATCAAAGCGATCGAGGAACAATGATAGACAGGAGTATCGAACATCCAAATTCCAGAGACAAATTGAGAAACTCAAACAATCCAACAAAGAGCGAAAAAAAACAATCAGACAAGTAGATATAAAAGTACTTACCCTATTACTCGCAGTATACCACTCACAAATCATTAAGACATTATGACAGAATCACATTCATGCAAATTAGAAATCTTGAGGCACTTCGTGAACTATCAGCATACACCTAACCACACAACACTCTACGACCTTTCACGCCACTCGCTATGTACCTCTTAAAACGCTGTTACCGTTTATTTTAGACCTTCTGGATGATCTGTGGTGATAGTGAAGTACTATAGACTCACCCTGGGAGAGGGACTCCAGTCAAAAATGACCTCTTAATCACTACCTCGCACCTGCCACCTTATGCCTCCTAGCGATCGCCTGCGGAGTGACCTCACTTGATTGGCTGTGCTGTCTGCTGACCTCGTACAGACATACTAAGTTAAGGAAACCGTAGACACCAAAATCGTTCTCTCACAAAATGTAAGAGTTTTGTTGTTAGGTTGTTCACTCAATTTTAGCCATTTTTCTCGGTCAGGAAATGTTTATTGTAGAGAAGTGATACAGGTTAATACCAAAGAAAATTCCCACTATTATTTCAGCACCTCTCCTATTTTTTTTACCAATTGGTGATTCTGACCGAGGGTACGATTTTAATTTCGAATGTCAATTTACAGGCTCGCTGTTGCACATATTGAACAATACAAAATCTCCTGTCAGCCAAGTTGTGCTTTGCCAACCTGATGAATGGTAATTACAAAACCCTATGTCCTCGATTGCACGAGAGTTTCGTCGAGGGTTTTTCGAAATTTGGCTCTGTTCCAAGTAGAGCCCCAGATAGTGATTCTACATATCCGTGCGGCAGCCCTTTTTCCTCTTTTTTTTTGAATATTTCCATTTTCAAGAGCGACTTGAGGAAGCTTCGAATTCGCTTCAGCCAAAGCATCGCAATGCTTGAAAAAAATTACTAGCATGGAATTTTGCGGCTGGCCGGGATGTTTTTTGCCAAGACATTAGAATCACCTGTTGAACTGACCAGAACTAGGAGCCCCAGCTAAAAAATGTTGGAGAGTGGCGATGCCCTCACGGACTCAAAAATGACAGTGAAAAAGGTGAAGTCAAGTTAATACCATACGCAACTGAAACACAAGCCAGGAATATGTCAATGAAAAGTGTTTGAGTATTTGATTTGAACCTATAGCAAACAAAAAAATCATTGCTGTTGGCTTTTTTGTTCACTCCCAAGATAATGTTCTGTTCCACCAAACTACTGTTGCTACTGTTTTTGTATTTCCTGTTTTGTTTCTTTACTGTTTTTAATCCCCTTTTTTAACACGTGTCTATGTGATAAAGTTCATTATTCATATGATCGATACTGAGTCTGAGAGGAAGAGGTCAGCAGACAACTCAGTGCAATTAACAAGGTCTTCCCACAGGCAGGTGAGTGTAGGTGCGAGGTGGTATCCCCATAATTGCACTTTAGACTAAAGGTGCACACCCGACTCACCCTCAAAGGCGGTGATCAGAGACTGTTGATGGAGGGCAAGAGGCAGGGAAGTACACCATGACAATAGTTGAACTTTTAAACATCCCACAATACAAGCAAACTTACCCGGCACCCTACCCACCTCATCGCTGCCGCTACACTACGGAGCACTGAATGTGGTTAATATAGTACCGACTACACGAGTTGGCCTAGGTGAACAATGTGTGTTAATGTGTTTGCTGAAAGGATCAAGATGCTTCATTATCGATTTCGAGGACCACGTTACAAACCAACGTATCGACGTCGGGGCGTGAATTGCGTTGACCCACCACTATCTAACCATCTCTTGAAGTGAAAACTATCATAACGAGATGCCTCGTTTATATACTCTCTTCGCCTGCCCGTACTCCAGTCTATTACTACGCATCACCTTGCTGATCAGCGCGAGGAGACAGCGTCATGCTATGAGACGAGGATTCACGGAGTTCCACCGAAAAGTGCTGAAGATCGGTTGGCTCAGAATGAGAACAACGTGACCTGATCACCCTAGGTTGACTAGGAGTCAAGGTAATTTTGCTGCCGCTCCCAATTTCTCCATGCGTCTCTCTAATTAGGCAGAGGCAATGGCTGGGTGAATTACGTGCTGAGCAGATCCTAAGCATAGCCCTAGTTAGGTACTGCGATTCAGCCCACTTGGTGTTCACTATCCTGCCTTCCTCACTGAACCGCTAGGACTTTTTCCTTCCTGTACGTATAACCAACAACAATTGACCTATTCCAACACCCAGGTTGTTTCAGCTTCCAAGGCTTTTCGACAATATGTGCCAAAGTAATGCCCAGGCCGTAATTGTTCCAACAAGCTAGACACATAGCTCCGTAAGACGACAAGCATGGAAGGCCTAGCGCTTGATATCGCGAATATTGAAAACAGTTTTTGCTTAAAGAAGAGGAGCCTTTGAGGAGGATGCTTATATATTCAGACGATTGCGAACAATTGCTTCGTGTAAAAAGAAGATAACAGCAGCAACTCTGACCAGCTGATTTGCATTAAACACAATCAAATATTATGTTCACTTGATACGATACCTTTTTGAGAAAATCACTCAGACCGACATCACTAGCCGTAGACAAAGCATCCTCTCGCCATTCACGTTTCCCCGTTTTCAGGCAATAGAAAAACCAGAGATGCTCAAGAACTGTTAAGTTTTCGAATAGTGTTATTTGTTGTGAACAATATCCAATTTCTTTTCCACGAAGATTTTTGCCATGTATTTTCATTAGGTTGAGCACATTGATAAGACCTGAAAAAGCACCGTGTTTTTCTTTCATCTACTTAACAGACATACCTCGCGATGGTACAATATCTCCTGAAATGAGCTTCATTATTGTAGTCTTTCCTGATCCATCGTGGCCGAGCAACACAGTCACCTAAACGCAGGTAGAGGGCAAAGACTCAACATAGTCCTTTCTTCTTCCTTTATTTCCGATTCCTACAGGCTTATCTGAAACCAACCTGGCCGTAATACGCGCTAAAGGAAATATTGCCGACTGCGAGCTCTTTAGTAGACTGCCAATATTTGTAGACATTGTTGAAAGTGACTGCTCTGTCCATCCACTCTTCATTTTTTTCCCCCTCAAACCCTTCAGATTTCGCAGATTTAACTTTTTTCGAATACGTCTGCAATGAAAACATTTACTATAGGATGTGAATCGGAAAGTTCTTATTATATCAAACTTATGATGCAGAGCGCGGTCAATTAAAAGGAGTTGCAGATAAGCCAGAGTAAATGTAATAACCGAATTGTAGGTGAATTATGCTTAAGCTTCTCTTAAGAATCACAGGTTCAGTGTGGTACAGTCAAAGGCTTGAGGCGGTGTTCTCTCTCTTCTTTCCCTCACTGAATTACGCTTTTCCCGACCTAGTCGAAACAACGACATTGAGTTTTCGTTTGCATAGCTATGCCGACTCCAGCCGAGCAACACGATTTACACCACTTGACTCATCAATATAGAATAGCTTAGATACAAGCCCTGGATAAAAGTGATGTACAAGAGCGCTTCGTTGTGATGACTGAGCTCCGGAAGAACTGAAGGTAGAAAAGAGAGCAAGAGAACTCTTACGGAACGCTGAAATTAAGGCCTTAACCTTCAGTAAGGTCGGATGTGGTACGATGGCGAGACAGGGCGATCAAAGAAGACAAAACACGCGAGAGAGCACGCCGTTTGAGAGAGCACGCTGATCTCTATCAACAGCGGTGGGTGGGAAGCGTTGCAGCGAGGGTTGCAGGTTCGCAATGGATTGGCGCCCTAATCGCGAAATTTGAGCAACAAGGATGGCATGACGTGCCACAAAATTTTCTTCCTGGCATCGCTCCCACTAATCGGCCTGGTCCCAGGATTTGTCTTCAGAATACGCCGAAAGCACTTGGTGAGGAGTGAAGGTTGGATGGTTTCCATCCCCAGCCCATGGTCCATAGCGTTATTTTCAAGCTCGAACGAACTTTCCGAAGTATGCTGAGCGGCATTGTCGCCGTGAACTTCCAGATATCGACAGGTGGTTAAGAACTAGGTTATAAAGTCTAAATCAGTTTGACGTGGAGATCAGCACAAAATCTCAGAATTTTATCATTTTTCGTGAATTTTCTTCGATGCATAGCAGCTACCGCGCACTACGTTTCATGCAAAATGTCACTAACTCGAAAATCTGCTGTAAATTCAATTGAATAGTCTTCACGAATGGATAGATAAAGGATCATCAGAAAGCAAGAAGTCATCATAAAAACAAAGGATTCGAACATTGTGAAGACTTCAGGGTAAACTGTAATCAGTAAACCCGTTTCCGGTGATCCTGTAATCGCATTCATTAGTGGAGTAATCAACAATCCAAACTGAAACACTGAAGGACCCTTTGAGCTTGGAACTTGTGATGCGTAGTGTTCCGGTAAAGGCACTGACACGATAATCTGTTTGGATGTAGTTTCAATATCTTGAAGGGGATGCATTGCGCCTCAATATGAATGAGGTCTTCACGTTGACAACATGGGACATATGTGTGTGTGGGAGGAGCAGAAGTCATAGCAGCTAAAAAATGATGAAGGGTCTCAGATCCCCGAAGCCTTCCTTTACTTTTTTTCAGGATTTCTCTTTCTAGTATGAGCAGCACAGCGTGCGCAATTTCATAATTGATCGACCTCAATCAATGCGATTTTCTCACGCGTTTTTTCTCTAGAAATTTGAGTTAGTTCCCCATGAGTATCCTGAATTTGGTTTTAAAAATATGCGCCTTTCTATATATACATATATATCTATACATATAAATATTCTTCTATTTTATAAACCGCTAACTTGGTTTGTCGGTCTGTATGTATGTAAGTATAGTCAAAATCTCGAAGTCAGATTAGGCTTGGCTACGGATGGCCTTTGCCGCACTTGATAAAAACCGTGGCGATAGGAACGTACTCCATTGGATATCAGCAGAGCATGCTTATCCGCGCAACTTCCATCAAATGCGGCGGCCGCCACGTCAAACCCATAGACACGCCTAATCTGACTTCGAGATATCGAGTATATGTATGTCCGTCCGCAAAATGAAGTGAGTGATAAGGAAGCTCATGGATAAACAACCGCTAACAAATCGGGTAGCTACAGGACTTGAGCTATCAATGTTTTGCAATGGATGATTGTGATAACACCCCAACGGCTATATAAACACCTACTGAGCACACTTCCGGTCATTCCACATGGTGCTGCGGTGGCAGCTGGAGGGGAGTGGAAGGAGGGAGGGGGGGGTGAAGTGTTCGAGGAGGGTAGGCGGAAAACCATCCCCCAACAGGCCTAGGATGCAATTAGCTTTTGGTAGGTCATTTTAGGCCGTAAAGCGTACGCTGTGAAAGAAGGTCCCGGCGGTTGGCGGGGGACCAACATGGTACATATATACATTTACATTATTATATACATTTACACATAAAGGATAAAGGATAAAGCATTTGCCGTTGATCAATCCCTTTTTGGGATGCGGCACGCATTCTACTTCCATTTGTACATTCGCAGTGGCGTTTGAATGCGATGTGGCCTATACAATGACTTGCGGGGCCAGCCGATGTACAAGTCAGTGTTTTTATCCTCCCAGACAAGTCTGGTACCAATTAACCGACCCCGGAGGGATGGAAGGCTTGGTTGGCCCGGGCGACTCACGACCCAGGATTTGATCCCGGACCGCTCGCGTGGTAAGCGCGCCACTTGTCACTACACCACTTCCGCCCACATTTACCCCTGACAAATTTACACATGAGCTGTGTAAACTGTGACTTTGACAATCTATTTCGTGAGTTGAATTCTATCATTTTTCTTGATCAGATATTGTCAGGCATTTTGTTTTCGCTACTCTGTTCATTGCTACTAATGTAGCTATTATTGTTGTCAATTTGTTTCATCATTATTATTACTGTGTGCTCAAAAGTTTCTTCCTCCCCCGTAAATTTCCTTTACCTCGTACATGGTATGTGGCTATGCTTTCAAAGTAAGATTTAAAAGAAGCGAGCGGATTCAAACTGCAAATATATAGAGACCACGAGTATGAATCCAATGATGGTGTTGTGAAGGACAATAGGAACAAGCACGCCCACACAAATATGCACCCTGCAATTAGAGAATATTTGTAAAACCTTAGAATCAGAAATGTTTTAGTGCTTCCTTGCACTCACATGTGACAGCGGAAAAGGGAGACTTTGAAAATGTCGAGCCAACCAGCGAAATCAGTGAGGCAGGTAGGGGCAAGAAAATGTTAATAATAAGTATTGATGGCAGATATGAGACCTACAAATTATAGATTAAGGAGTGATTACCCTATTATAGATTGAGTTATCCAGATCATCATGCCACACTTTGAACGGGCTTCCAACTTATTTTCACCACTTTTATTTGACAAGGCCTATAGAGAACATTATTATCATTAGTATGCGTATGCGGGGAATGTACACTTTTTCTCAACGGTACCTTAATTCTCCTTTGTCAGAAATTCGGTAATGCCGTGTAAAAAACGAAAAAGCGCCTTTCCACGTCGACGTCAATCGTCGTCTTTTTATAGTCCGGGTGACGTTTGAATGCACAAATGTTAATAATTGAGCCAAGTACAATGAGAAAATTATTCCTTGTACTACCGTCCGACTGGAACCAATGGTCTTCACACGGGAAATCCTCGTCACCTGCACGTTGCCGGGTATTAGGAACATAATGAGTATCTCTGATACGCGTTGTCTGGAGTAGGAAGACAACGAAAACTCAGTGCATGGCTCGACCAATTTATGGAGGGGGTATTGTCTGCAATGGCCACTACGCTGTGTATACATATACCCTACCGCCTATTGTCAAGCATCAATCTGCAATCTCATCAGAAAGAGCGAAAAACTCTTTTCTATAATGGTCTGTTTTGTTGCTGCATTAAATCAAGTCGCGCTCGTGCGTATTCGAACCCCGCGCTATCCTCACGAGCCACTATTTTTGCTGTTGCAAGAGAAGAAGAGATAAGCAAGCCACTAACATTAGAGTCACCTTGTCAGGCTAACGCAACCTGTGTGGTATCATTCGCGAGCATGCAGTCTTACACATAGCCGATATCTGAGATCCAGGTTATCTTTCAAGGCGTAGCCTAATGTTTTTCCAACCAATGATATAGAGCATGCAGCTGCCTCCATCAGAAAGTCGAGCAGCCGCTCATCATTCCTTTCTTGTAGCAGGTCAGAATACTCAATTCTTTGTAACTAAATTTCTTCACTTGCGAAGCCCAGCGGTGCAGTGTGGCGTGGTGAAAGACCTCCTTCTTGAATACAACCATAAGGCAATTCACCACGCTATTAGTCAACGATCCAACCAAAGTAGCCTTGGAGAAGTTCGTAATATACATCAGGCTACTTGGGTCAAAAGATGGCCCGATTCAGGGAGCAGCTCAAGCTGCAAAACCTTGTATGAAACCTTTATAAGCATTTACACTGAACCTCTGCGAATGGAGCCCTAGAAACACTAATCACACGTGTATAAGATGGGGCAAGATGAACGAAGCACACGTATTCTGAGGGGGCCCGCACACGGTAGACAGGGCGCGCAACTAGGAGGAGGGATTGGCTACGAAACCACATTCATCCATTCCTTGAAAGCCTGGAGGAAAGAACATCACGAAAGAAATCCGTGAGCGTTGGGGAAGACGGAACAGCCAAATCCAAATGTTGGGCAAAACAAATTCGCGTATCATTTCCATTTCGCCAAGGATTCGTGTTGTCCGCGCGGTACCGCGAGAGGCCAATCTGTATGGCAATCATGTGATCACTTAAAATTTGATAAAAAAAAGTGCCTTGATAAAATAGAGCAGAGCAGGGATGACGAGAGTCATTGTCACAACCAAACCGTGAAGATAGGCAAAAAGTGCATGAGACAAGTAGAAGTCGAGACGATCAGCACCCATAGATGTCATGATTTCCTAAATATCTCATTTTTCTTTGCATAAATGCACTTTCAAAATGTGAAACACCATCTTACCACAACTCCTGATGCCTTTTCTGTACTCACTTTCTTGCAATACATCACAACAACAGGAGTCAAGGCGAGAAGAACTACTAAAAGCATACTTCTTCTGAAGAAACGTTTCTTTACTTAAAGGCAAAGGTCGGGCTCAGTCGCGCTAGAGGAGTAATTCCCATGCCGGAGGTTGTATGTGAGTAGCTGCACACATTGCAGCAACTTCCCACCTTGAAAAACGTCGTTAAGCCCTCGACAAAGCAACTGACATCTCCAGAAAACTTGTTTATACGTGCCTCTTTCCCCAAGCCGGCCTCCTTCACTGCTAGTGGGAAAGAGGGTTTGTTAACTGCGTAAGCTCAATCGGGCTCTTACTGAGCCCGATACAGCGCGCGTTGAGGATCTCTCAAACCGTGCCGTGCGAAACATCCAACGCGGGTTAACTCTGGTTGTATTAAGGGAGCAAATATAGAGGTGAGATCGCATCATATGTATAAAGAAAGTAGCACAATAATGGTTATAACGTTGAGAAAGCTCTTTTGTTGTCAGTCGTGGTGAGAAGGAAAAGTAGTTTTAGCGATGAAGTGAAGTGCTAATAAAATTAAAATA